TCGATGTTAAATTTGGCAGTTCTAGCTGCCCCTGCCCAGCTGTTACTATAGCAAAGTTCTCGCATTTGCCCGAGGACGATTTTCCCTGGCGAAAGAGCTTCAGCGAGAAACCACCAATTCCAAATTGAAGAGATGTTTTTTAAAATCGAATACTCTTTGTGTTTATCTTCGTCGACCGGAACCCGGCTATGGTGGCGTTCGATTGCGACTTCTTCGCCTTTTCGGAAAAAAAATTCTCAGTCAGTTTTATGATTCCACTTATGGCTGACATGGCTAGACTGTATGAACAAACAACGTGGTTGAAATATTACAGCGGGAGGTTTCGTAGGCTCGAGTACCGCAAATTGTTCTGCAAAATAACCCCGCGCTCTTCCCGCCAAAATGTAAGAAGATGACAGAAAAAAAGATACAAAATGTTCTTCTGGTCTCATCTTTCTGAAACAAATTTTGATAATGTCGGCCCATGTCGGTAGTCGGTTAAATTTTTTTCTGTCGGTAGTCGGTAATTTTTTTTCTCGTTTTGTCGGTAGTCGGTAGTATTTTTCGCCTTTTGTCGCTAGTCGGTCAACCCCATTCACACCCTCTTTAAAGAGCTGAGATCCTTGAAAAGCTCATTATTATTCAAGTTACTTAAGTTAAGAGTTTCTTGTTGCTTTTTTCCTCTTTCTTATGTCTAATCAAAGTTGTCCATGGTTAAAGTTGCGAGAACAAAATTTCTATCTTAGACAAGCTGCTGTTTTATTGGGCTCTCGTCTTGAGTTCACAGTTTGGCCACGACGAATGTTAGTAAGCTCCTACGAGTATCGGGCTTTTTGATTTACATCGACGGAATTGTTGTTATTATTATTGATATTGATTACTGTTAACGCTAAATTTCTTCGCAAGATAGAGGTCGTTACTCAAACCCAGAACTGGTCAAAATTATGCGGGTTTCAGAAAAAGTTTCAAGGAGAAATTTTTTTGCTAATCGAGTTTGCTTTGAGTTCATTCAGAGGGAAGCGGTTTTTATTTCAATCGATCTGTCTAGCATCTTTTAAATCTGCTCTTAAGGTAAAATCCGACATTTTAGATAAAATAACATTTAATGGTTTACAGGGAATAAATAAAGACATTGTAAATTACATATATTAATGTTATTTTACTATCTTTATTTATTTTATTTATTTTCAACACCACAGTCAATTAACTGTAAATTATCTTACTAGGTATTACATCTTTTCTCACTTACCATAAATTCACAAGTTTGTTATTATTATTATTATTTAAATTTTGTAGATACACTTTAGTTTGTTGGTCCACATCAGCTTTTTAGCTGCCTTTTATCGACCTACGTGACAAATAAAGTAAGTATGTATGTATGTATGTATGTATGTATGTATGTATGTATGCATGATGCTATTCAGGTCGGCAAAACCCATGACAAACGTCGAATTTACAGTTAAATCAGAGAAAGTATCAGTGCGTGAGTGCGTAAGTGAGTGAGTGAGTCAACTAAAACAAATAACGCCCCTATATATCTAAAGAGGAAGTACAACTAAAACCTTAGAGCGAAGTTCTAGGAACTTACTTACTCTATGTGGCGTATCCAAGTGCAAGTGTATCCAAGCTCTTCTGCAAAAACAAGCCAGACGCTTACAAAGACAAGGTGGACGTTTGCAAAATATAGATGCGTCGGGTAGAGGCCACAAAAACTTAAGTGACAGTGAGCAATGGCGAAAGAAGTAAACTTTTCATCTCGATGTGAATAAAGTAAAAAGCACTAAGAGCAAAAGCAAATTACGTAATCAACAATCCGAAGTCATGATTTTTTTGCGTGCCGTCACGCAAAAGTCAAGATAAAAAAGACAATGAAACTTCATTTTATTTTACCACGCTCTGGCCCCAGACTTACATTAAGCACACTTAAGTACTTAGCGATTAGAATTCCATCAATTAGCCACAGTATAATGCATCGTTAAAAACAAATCCACCGGCGTCAAAGTTCACGCACATCTGATCAACAAATCACATGCTTTTTCATCGTCACCCATCGAGAGCGTAGAATAGGAAGGGTTCTGGTCCCGCTTCACGCACGCGTTTTAGTAAAATTCACGTGTCATTTGTACATTATTTCCCGAGTCACGAATGGGCCATTTCCGAATTACGTTTGGCCTCTTTTTCAAAACGAGGCCTGGTGCTCAACCACACGTATGGAAATGAGTTAAATTTGCATGTGAATGAAAACTTATTACCATACGAAAGGATGAGCACAAGGACTCGCTTTGAAAATGAGGCTAAAGGCAATTCGGAAATGGGCTATTTAAGAGGGATGACACTCACCTTACCTTGCTTTTCTGTAAATCCAACCATCACGTTTATCAAATTTGGGCGTTATCGCGAGTCAAGTGCAAAGTATTGTCACCCTCTAACATCACGATGAGCGTACAAAAGTGAAAACAGTTCTTCATCGGAAGTAATTAGTAATTTAGTAGTAATTTGTAGTAGTAATTTAGTAGTAGTAGTATATTATTTAAAGTCAATTACACAGGGAGTGGTTGCCCAGATCTCCCGAGCCAGAGGCTCATGACAAAGTGATTGACAGAGAAAATATAAAAAGCATCATGTATATACAATATTAAAAAAAAAAGTTATAGTATCATGTATATACAATATTAAAAAAAACGTTATGGCATCATGTATATACAATATTAAAAAAAAGTTATTCGATAATAAATATGATATATACTGTAATGAGTTGATGCAATTTATATATTGTTGACAAATGCTGAGAATAATCGTTGGAAATGACAAATATCAAATTGAACAATTGTTGCATTGGCAACCGGGAAAATAGAGCTTGCTCATTGATCTACGAAAAATTGACACATTTTCAGCAGACTTTGCTGACGAAGGTAACCGATTCCAAATTTGAGAAATAATATGTGAAAATGAGTTGTGCATGAATTGAGTACTGTAAGATTTCTGTTCAACATTATAGCCTCTGTTACGTTTTACTTGATTGTACAAGGAGGTTGAAAAGTTACGAGGAGAACATGCAAATTAAAAGTAATTGAAATCGGACGGACTTGTTCGAAACTGGAAAACGTCCAAAACTGTCCGAAGTCAGACAAAAGCCCTAACTTTGACAATAGCCTCGTAAATTTAACAAATGGCGTAAACACCATAGCATACAATCTTGAGTTATGAATGCACGCGGGAGCTTGGTTGCTAAAAGTGAAAGAAGCGTAAGAGTCGCGCGAGGCAATAGCCGAAAGTTATTTTAGCTTCTTAATACATTGTAGCAAAAGAGTTCTCTTTCATTTAACAAATCTTACGTGACCAGAAAAAACCAGCGCGCGAAAACTAGTCTTTGCATTCGCTCACGTCAGCAGCGTACACCCATGAACATTAAATTGACCACTCAGAGCGCGCGCTTTACTTTGGTTATAATGGACAACGGCCTCCGAAATTTGAAAAATAACGTTCGAAAACGGGGAAGAGCAATAGCATGCAAAATAGGACAGGAGCTTCCGAATTAGGACATTATCAAATATCTGAAATAGGTCAATGACGTCCCATTGGGAATAAGAGCACCAAAATTGAGCCAATATCAAGACGAGGAATACTAAACTACTTTGAAAGGCCAGCTTCCGAAAACGCCTTACTCCTGAACTAGTGTTCACATGAAAATAGTATCGTTAACTTCCAATGTTAACAATGTGACAACGTGGTCTCTAAAATAAATGATACAAAATTCAAGTGTACTGGAGTGTCGGAAGTAATCTGTAATTTCACTGGTTTTGCTTCAACTCGGCATGTGATTAGTCTAGAAAATTCGCGCCATGCTCTAAACCAATCAGACGCCAAGCAAAAACCAATTGTGATTTGGTCGCCCGCACTTTGCCTATTTTTCAATCCCAGTCCTCCCTGGTACACAAGCCCTTGTTAAGATTGGCTGTAATTTGTTTTTGGTTTTACTACACCCACTCGAAAAGTGCTTTCACAGTCGCCTACAAAACAAAAATTAATGGAAACCTTTGTAAGATTGTCCGTTTTGAATTTAATTGTTTTTTTTTTTCATTTACACAAAAAATCCATCAATTTTTTTACCACTATTTACAATATGTAATTATACATTATAATTAAGTATAAGAAAATAATAATTGCAGTTCAGCGAGTAACTCTGTGGAGTATTAGAGTAACTTACTTATAATCACGTCATATATTATTCATGACATTGATGCGATACGAATGTTGGTTAAAAACGGACATTTCATGATTTTAACATAACACATCTCTAGTTGTTACCAGGCCGAGCGAGTGTTCTTGTTCGGCCATGTGTATGAAGAATTTTGTTCTGAAGATCGCGAATGTGAATCGTTTTCATCCTGTCGATTTCGACGAACATTTTTCAGTTATTTTGAGAAGGAACCTTCAGATTGTTTGTAAGTGTTCAACATTTCGATTTATTTGAGCTTTGTATACTTTCATTTTGCTTTATTTTGCTTCGCGTTTCCAAGTTTCGATTGTGTAATTCTACTTTCAGAAACATATTTGTATGCCGTTTATTTGATGAATCTGGATTAAAAGACTCTAAAAATTAACCGATCGATTCAGCGGCTACAACGAATGTCAGACTCGTAATAATTTTGTCACGGTTAGCACATGAAACCCCTTTCAAACTTGCACGATTTCTTACTTTAATAGCTTCATTTCTTAATATCCTTCAAAATGATAGTCGTTTCAGTTTGTGTTGGTAGCTACGCATTTCTAATAAACAGAGGTCAAGAAAGTCTAAGTGATGCCATTCAGCTTCTCAAAGGACTCCCCGCGAGTTTTGCCTAATTGCTAACTAATGACCGAAACCGTCTTTCTTGCCATTCCCCCCCCCCACTACATTTGCACCAAAATCGCAAACTTCAGGCTTATTTCAAAAATTAAATATCTATACAAGACTATGTCATCTCCGTAAATTAAATTTGCTCAAATTTACACTCTTTGATACAATTTTATGCAAAATAATTGTAATCTTTATTTCGTCTCGTGCCTAAAGCAAAAAGTCGAGCGTGAATCTCACACCTAAAGTTTTAAAGCATAATATTTGAAAATTTCGAGGCGTTGTATAGTATTGGAAAGACTATTTCAACCTTTCACTCACATTTTATGCACTTCATCGTAAAAGAATATGGATCTTGATCGCGTGGCTACTAGTTCGATCTCCCAAAATGACCCAGTCCATTAGAAAAAATGAACTGTCGGGGTTAAAAAACTATACTAAAGATGTGTAAAAAAGCAATAATTCAAGACAGTTTAGAGCAGTTTTCAATTGAGTGTCGAAAGCAATCCGGGATCTTTTTTCCATTTGCTTTCCTTTGCTCAGTGTGATTGGTCCAAAAAACTCACTCCATTCTTTCAACCAATCAGATGCAAAAGCCAATCACGACTATCGCTCACCCGCGTTTTCCCGCGCTTTAAGGTAGTTTGTTAGTTTTTAGTTTGAGTTCTCATTGGCTCTTTAAGGTATATTCCTTTCTTCTGATTGGTTTGGTTTGGTTTTGGTTTTACGACACTCACTCGAAAGGCGCTCTATCTCTAGCTGAACAATTATACAAAGTTAGTTACGAAAGACCGAGGCACCTCTAAAAAATGGTCGTGTTGGGGCACTTCTGAAGTCCCTCCGGATATTTCAGTAGGGTTTCCCATAAAGAGGGTCCTCCTACAAGATTTCTGGAAGGGTTTTTTAAAGGATTGACCCTCACGGAGCACTCCTTGCAAGAACCTGTATGAATGAAGTCCCTTTTCGCCTCAACCGTGAGAATGTTGGGTCACATTCAATTTGCAGTGCTTTGCGTGTAACACTTTTTTGCACTCTGCATCTCAAAAAAAAAATTGATACAAGAGCTACAAGGAAACTATTGATATGTAACAGCACCCCTTTCACGGTTTGAATCAATGAAGATCATCATCAAAATTATGCCATCACCATAATGCTGTGTTCTCCAAGGGTCACTTCTTCTCCAAATATGTCCGTATCCTTTACACTGGCATGTACACGCTGTCGTACTCGTCCAGGTCGCTATCATCGTCAGGTAGCTCTTCATTGTCAAGCTGTCAGGAAAATGATTTTAGAATTTCGAGTTGGCTCCGGGAGATGCAATGGCCTGGAGGTTAACGCGTCTTTGAATCGAAAAGATACTCTGAGGAGGGGGGGGGGGACGGGGAGGGGGCTCTGTGATGGATTAGCATCCTATCCAGGGGCACTTACGGGCCATTTCCCTCTGAGACTAAATCAACTTCAGTTAGCTTGCCACATAACGAGTTATTGAGTCACTGCATAACAAACGTCTCAGGGTTTTCACACGATAAGCACAAAGCTATGTGACTGCCGCTGTGAAAAGTGCACGTATCAAATGAAGAAAGTCAAGAAACACGTCCGATGTCTAAGTTAAGTATAACTTTATGTATCATAATCGACAGATTCCAAATTCAGTACCTTTCTGTAGGCGACAATATGAATGTTCATTTTGGTCGACCAGTTTGTCTCGCACGAAGTGAGACGAACATTTTTCTACACTACCTTACAATATCGATACATTATCCAGCAAAAAGGTAACGACAATACTCAAACTTATCAAGTAGATCTAACACCAAATTCTCGTAACTAATTTACAAGGAAATGTGTGGTAGCTAAAGGGGAGAATTAACAATCCCATCTTGGGATAAAGGAATAAAAAATTGACGTACCTCTTCGAGTTCATTCTGTTCAAAAAACTTTGTCAAAACTTTGCGAAGAGGAATCAAGCATATGATGAAAAATGGAAATGACGGAGCGATGACGTTTAACTTGACCACGATGAGGAGAATCAGGCAGACGACTTGGATGATTGTGTACGAGTGAATCTTTCGGGTTTTGACCTAAGGAAAAAAATGGTACGAATCACGAATAAATGCACATGAACTTTTCTCGTTTGACATTGGAAGATAGGCGCGCTATCAACGCGGGCGCACGCTATCTTTCGCTTTTTGTTTACGTATCATCCATTTATTGCGCACATGGTAAGTTTACAGAGCAATGAAGACGCTACAGTTTTGAACGAGTCCTGTCTGCTAGCTGCTGCAGCTGAATAACGCCTCGCGTGTGCTAGTATTCAAAATCAACATCGTTTATCATATCGTTCATCAACGTCAAAGTCACTATCGAAAAAACTGCTGTACGTATCGTAGCAGCAGCAAGGCGGCCAAACGTCTGTGCACTTGCGAGTTTGTAGAGGTAGGTGACGTGTTTTAAGGGTGTCAAAATCAAGTTATCATGAAAACAGACACGAGCGCGAGTAGGTCGTGGTGTTTGAAAACCGCGAAGCTTTCTCGGTAAAGCTCAAAACAAAATGATAAATAAGGAGGGAACCCGTAATTTTTTTGTTTCCTTTTCAGATTTCTATGCATGTTTCCATTTTCTATTGCTTATTTTGCGTGACAGCTATTGTTTCTCATGTTTTCCTTTGAAATTTTGCGCGGGAAATTGGCGCACGGCTGAACGAAATTAATTCCCTTGCGCATGTCCTGTGTTCGATCGCTGTGTCTGTAGCAGCTTACCTTTCTAACATATTGCACATCTGGGTGATACTTTGGGGGCATAAACATCATAATTATTCTGTCGACGAGCTGAATACCAGACAAGGAACAAACACCAAGATAGAACAGTACACCAAACATGACTGCGACGGGGATACGATGAAGAGCTGGAGCAAGTAGAATGGAAACCCCTGCAATCGACCAAAACGTCCGTTACAACCAATCAGAACAAAGGAAAAATTTCAAGGGGCCAATGAAAACTTAAAGAAAAACCACGCCACGTGTCGTAATTTGTCATAACAGCCAATCAGAACAAAGGAAGAATCACTAGGAGCCAATGAAAACTCGAAGAAAAAACGAGCCATATGCTCGTCGCGCGGGAAAACAGTCATAACCAAGTCGCCAATACAAAATTCTTTGGTTTATCAACATTCTAAATTCCAATTCGAATTGGAAACAGTGGACAAGAAGAGCCACATGGTGGAATGTGCACCGCAAATCCTATTTTATTTTTCATATTTTGGTAATTTTTATTTCTTTTTTGTGTGTGTATGTAGGCAGTTTGAAGTTTCAATCGCAACCGTTCGAAGAGCTAACGAAGAGCTGGCTCTGACAAAGGGCTAAGGCTCGAAACGACAGCTTTAGAAACCCTTTACGGAAGCCCATTTACATTACCGACTCAGTTGATTAAACTAAATCATTTGGTAGAACCCCAGCCTCAACCGACGCAGCACTACAGCTTCTTAAGATGTTTACCCCTTTACCCAAGTCGCTGGTACTACATCTGATTGGTTAAAACGTGGCGCAAATTCTCTAAACCCCATCACAGAGCAAAGTAGAGAAAACCAACGTGACCCCATAACTTTCGACACGCTGTTAAAATTCGTTCACAAAACCCATTGAACTGACCTGTCAACACGTGTATGGCAATGTTTGTAACCCTCTGTTCTTTGACCTCGACCAGATGTGGTTTAACGCCAGGAGCTTGAGACGTACTCCAGATAGACAGCGCATTTAAGTGTGACACCGACCGGACAGTCGCCGCGCACATCCATGGCAGCCCCATCATGGAGCAAACAAACGACAGACATCCCATAACGATTAGGTCCAAATTAAAGCCGGCGCCCTTTAAAAGTTTGTTTTCTTTCTTGTTCAAGAGCACTCCCGTCAGTTCAGTTTCCATAAACAGCAAGATTCCCACGAACAAGGCTGGAATTATGGCCGCAAAAATCCAGCCAGGTTCCATGGGTCTTTTCATCCCTCCAGGGTTAATAAACCAGCCTCTCTCTGTGTATCTTGTTGGTAAAAAACCTCTTTTCGTAGGATCACCAATGGTAATCTTCTGCGTGACGACTTTATCGTAAAGAAAGACATCCACGAGTAACATACAAGCCATGGCTATGACTATGCCAAAGTCGCTTACAAGTCTTCTGGCCTGAGAAAAAAAAGTCGAGTCTTATTGAGCTCTAAGGATCCCGACATCCTGTGCTTAGCTCCATTTAAATCCAGAAGCTTCTCCGATTGAGTAATGGACACCAAAGGCAAAGAATACGCAACGGCCAATCAAAACAATCGATATCTTACAAGGGGCCAATGACGACTCACGTTTAAAACGAGTGAACTGCATGAAGCGCGGGAAGACGGTTTTGATCAAGACGCGATTAGTCTTATATTTGAATTTGATTGTTTGAGAGCCGAATAGCGGGAGTTTTCTAAGCCAATTACAAAGCAAAGAAAAGTAAAACCAACAACCTTCGACACTCAATTGAGTATTGCTCTCGAAAAAAGGTTGCGAGGAGAAAGAAACCACACAGCTGGACGGTTTTGTCTTGAGGGAACGCAAAATTCTCTCCACTCATCCCAAAGAAAACATATAACGGCTGGAAGCAAGAATTTACTATATGGTTATGGGAGTTATATACCAAGTCAACCTCCACTCAAATTTTAAACTTGAAACTTACGGATTCTAAGCTAAATTTCAATCGACAGAATCTGGCTAACATATAGCAACCTGAGTTTCAGAATCGAGCTTGAGTAATTAAAAGGTATAACAAGGCTGCATAACATTAAAGTACGGTTATTTACACGAGGTCTAACCCAAATTGCAGTTTTACGCAAGCACTGGGCCTTACGCATTCTCTATAGGAGGTTTTTTCATTAAATAAATGTTCTTCCACAGCTAGCTTTCGGTCCTCTAGACAGTGTTTACAAAACTGAATGTTCAGATTAAAGATTGAGCTAAATTCAAGATAGATTAGAACGCGGTTTTTTTTAATAACATAACCGGGCCTAGGTGCCTTACATATTTTCAACTTTGAGAGGGAATATACACCACACGCTAGTTGTGATCACTACAAACCTTTTTCCCAAAAAAGTAGCTTGTTCTGAACTTCCGCAGGTAAAAGGCAACGAAGAATGTTCCCAGAACCATGATGGTGGAAAGAAGAGCAGTGTTTGGTTGCCCCTTCACTTCATATTCAGGAGATTTAGGTGATTCTGTGTACGTTTTCTGCAAAGGATTTTTCTTGAAAACCTACAGCGAATAATTTAGTTCATTACACACGTAAACTTAATACTAAAAAATCAGTTATAATAAGTAAAACTAAATTTCTGTAAATATCTTACCACTTCTAAAAAGTGTATGGCCTCATAGACGAAGATAGCAGAGATCAGACAAGCGAAGATTTCTTCTGTAAACCTGGTGAAATATCGTACAAGAAAACAGCCTTCTAAAGCAACCACCCCAAACAGGATCATCATGACCCAGAAGCCAATCCAACAGCGCCATGGAAGAAATTCCACGTTGTAAACATTACAGAACTAAAGAAAAGATGTAAAATAAAAACAACAAACTCGTTACTCAATTCACCATTCCATTCTCCATCCAAGCATATGATGCAGGGGTTCCCATAACTTTTACCATAAGCGGCTACCGATGGCGCATGGAATAGGCAGTCGTGTCTCATTTTAATGGAAAGAGAATTTGAAATTTCCGTCCTGCTCTCGGTTTTTTTTTTTTTTGGTTTTTTTCTTTGTCAATCCGTGGATCACGAAATGAAGACAGAATAGAGAAAGTAAACAGATGTTGCCGTACACTTGCCTCATAAATAGTCTGCTCAAAAACCAACACAGGCCCTGTAGCGCCAATAATAATCAGTGGCTGTCCCGCAAGAAGACCAAACAAAATTCCACACATGCAAGTAGCTAGAATTACTTCTGACACACCAAGCCATCCATCAGTTTTCTTGTCCAAAAGACTACCGAACGCAACATTGGGAGCAAAGACAGAAAAATAAAGGAATATCGACGTTAGGAGACACTGCAAATTAAGTCCATCTTTGAAGTCACTGAGGTAGTTTTCTTGTCCAAAAGAGCAAAGACAGAAAAATAAAGGAATATCGACGTTAGGAGACACTGCAAATTAAGTCCATCTTTGAAGTCACTGAGGTAAACTTTAGCTCGTCTTTTGATGTCTTCCACAAGGCCACCACAGAATGAACCTGTTCTTTCCAATGGGTCTATTTCTTGTTCCTCAGCAACTGCAGCGAGAGCTGTAAACGACGATACAGAGCAATTTTTAATTCAGAGTCGAAAATAATTCGGGATTGCGTTGTTGTCGCCTTACTTCGCTCTGTGATTGGTCCAAAAAACTCGCGCCAACTTCTCAACCAATCAGATTCAAACTAAAACCTACCACGAGCTCACCATTCGCGTTTTCCCGCGCTTTGTGTTGCCTTGTACCGCTCTGTGATTATTCAAGAAACCTCGTGCCACTTTCTCAATTAATCAAGCGGTTGGCTTGTTCTTAATTTAAATTCCTACTGGTTCTTGTTATAATTTACCTTGTTCTGATTGGCTCTTGTAATTACAATAGTTTTGGTATTACGACACTTTAAAAAAATGCGCTCTAGTATCCTAACATCTTATCGTCAAGAACTTCAAAATCCCAGCCACCCTGTAACTAGTAGACACTTCGTTGAGAGTATTACCTTACCGGCCTAAACATTGTCTGTTCACAAAATTTTCGCCTGTCGTCGAGATCTTTTAGTCACACTGAATCAAACACAAACATCCACCAAATTTGTCCTTACCAGCTTTAGCCATCTTTCTTCTTCGTGCCATAGCTCTGCTTTGAGCAATGAGGATTGGAAGCAACACGTTACGATCCCACTCTCCAGGCGGCAATACAACCGTGTCATCCAAGAAACAATTGATAGCTGACAGGAGGTCTTCCCGAGAATCTGCGCGATATGCAATGTCATGAAATGCCTGAAACATGAAAACCACACAAAACAATTACTTCTAACTGTGTAGATCCTCTCTCTATATCTACCCTTTTTCCATTATATACAGTGTTAAAGTTCGTGAAACTTTTGAAAGCAAAATATGACTGCAGCTTAAACTAGGTTTAATTACACAAGAACAAAACTGGTTTCGCTCACCGCCATCTGCACTAACGTGTTCAAGAACACAAAAACACTTCTTCCTAAATTGGCAAGCAATATTTGCGACAAGCATTCTCTAGCCCTAAACGATCTTACGGAGAATTTTGGCGTTTTAAAAAAGTATACGATCAAATTTGACTGCCTACTTATGAAATGCAGGTTCTTGTTGTCCGTTTTACACCTGGAAAAAATTTTTAAACTTCTTACAAGAATATATATATGTATTCATTGTGACATAGTTATTGTAAAAACTAACTCAGGCTACCAATAAATAAAGGCTGATAGTTTCTAAAGAAACCGTTTGGGGCTGCGTCGGTGGGGGTAACGAAATAATTTGAATATATCAACAAAGTTGAAATGGTAAATTGGCCACCGTTACGATAATA